GTTGATGTTCGGCAAATCAAAAATCGAGTACGAATTAAAAACAGCTTTAGTGAGAAATCAAAAATCAAAAAAGAATACTGGTTTCAAAATCAGAACAAACATTTCATGATAATGTAAATCATATAATATGGTTGACACATCACATTCAACCTTCGATGTAAGGTCGACCGACCGGTTTGTTGAACATATATCGGGGCAACATTTGTGTAAAAACAATCCATGTAAGCATGTGTGAACATTTGATCTTCATATGACTTGATGTATTAAAATGTCCAACAAGATTCAATATTATGTATCCTTAATACACAAACACATAAACATGGATCTAAAAACATATTCCGTTTCAAAAAAATCAGCAGGTTATAACATGTCCAAAAACTGTTTCCATACCATAATTAAGCTAAGTACTAAAGTTTAGGAAAACATTGTAATATTCAACTACATATGCAACCTACACCTTCCCCGGACCGATTCGTGTTGCCCTACGTGTCCTCTTCGCATTATACGACGTTTCCATGGCAATGAAGCGTTCCACATCCGTTATGATCGCCATCTTCCGGATGTTCTCCTCACTTAGTATGATTTTCGAGCAGTACTTGGATCGAAGATCCCTTAATTGTCTCTTCTGTTTCGTACTCTCCTTGTAAAGACCACTTTCCCACTTCCCTCCATCGGCTCCGAAGTAAGTCTCCATATTTCGCATCATGATTACACCACAATCAACAGATGTCTCATGCGACTGCCACCGTGTGCTAATCTGCTCCTGATCCATCTCAGCATAAACCTTTCCTGCATCATGGCCTTCTCTCATAAGGTGAAGTATCATCATATCTTGCTGAAAAAATCATAAATACAACACCATAAATATGGAACACACGAAGCATGTACAAAGATAGGACTAATAATGTATACTCACCAGCACCACCGTACTATGTCCATATATTTCATAAATATTGCCATCCCGATACTTGGAGTCAATGATTGAGGGCCGCTTCAGATTAAAAACAATAAGGTAATATAATGAATCTTCCACAATAGGGAAGAATACCTGCAATTATAAATACGTGAGATAGCGATTACCCTTTTAATATATTTTTAACTTATTTTATGCTAATGTTACCAACAGATGTTACATACGTACCATGTCAAGGTTGCGCATACTAATGAGTTCCCTATCATTGTTTGTCCAACATGATATGTTGTTTTTGAAAACCTTGTACCTGTGGTGAACATCCAAAGTCTGTTCCCTCATGGTATGATTCATCTGCAAAAAAAAAAAAACAAATCAGTACTTTTTATTGAATGACATGGATGTTATATATTGGTATGATAAACATATTTTTTCTTAATGATGTTACCGAAACGTCAGTTGGAAAGAAATAGCGTCGTGGGGAGTCATCGCTCCGCAGTCTTTCATATCTGTTGAGTACAATTGACCACCCGTCCATCACCTCTTGGCAAACCACGGATTGCGTTGCAAGAGATTGCATCGCCTGCCGCGTAACTGTTCTGCCATATTGGGTCACGAAAACAGGCTCCCTGGGTATTAATAGTCAATTAATAAAGAAATCATAAAATACAACCCATATATTTACATATCAAAATACAATAAATGCAATAAGGGAAAGGTAAGTTACAACTCACAATATTCCACCGATACCCCTCATAATCCAGTCTTGTAATTTACGCTCATCAACTGTTACGTCGAAGGTAACAGCACGTGCAACATAAGGTGACCGTAGCTTAAAACTCAGATTCGAATCCCTCTTCGACAACGTCGGCCTCGCTCCATCATGCATTGTAGATGTGTTCAGTTCATCCCCAATCGCAACCACCTCTTTACCTGCTGGACTTATCCCCAGATCAAATGACGGTGGATCGATTCCACCATACAATTCAATTGCTCTGTCGCTGCTGCCCCCTCTCTTACATACCTTACTTGTCCGTGTCTCAGCCTGATCACTACTTCTACCCCGTACAATCCCAACTTTCTCTGCTTGTGACCGTAATGACCCAATTCCGACCTTCTCCTTTTGAGCAAAA